TTGATATTAGTCGGTTAGATAAAGATCACGTATTACAGTCCGTTCAATTTAATGTCAATGTTCCTTCGAAAATGTATATAAGGATACATATGCAGAACTTACCCAAAGTGGTGAAGGGTATCATATAGTCGGCCCAGTCTGTCTTTACTACTTATATGTGGTGAAAAACGACATACTATATAAAACTCCATAATGAATTTCGACATTCCGAATGTCCACCTCATGGCGAATGGTATGAAAAGTTAGGCCGGGTCAAATTTAACGACATTTTTACTTCTTTCTTTATGAGCGGTAAAGTAAGTAATAAAGTCTTTGGATGCAAAGTTGGAGCTGTACTGTGGATGACGGATCAATTTTTTTTTTTTTTTTTTGGTTCGTCTCGTTTTCGAACAGCCACCAATTTTCCCAAATAGCCTCAACATTAAGTCTGTTTGTGGCGTATACTTCCCTTCCCGTTCAAAAAAAAGCATTGAGAGCAATTAATTCTTATTCATGAATCGGAGTAACACAATCAATCTCTCGCTCTCTATATTCTCTCTTCAAATTCTCTGATTTGTTGTAGTACTACACTTCAGACATTGACGCTTGGTTTTTTACAATGTTTGGAGCAGTAGAACAACACCAACAATGAACGTATACAATGAATACGAATGTGAATAATAAAAAACAGCTGTTTTCCAATTACCCACCCAGACAATTCAGCTCCGACTAGTCGTACAACAGAGCGGAACTTGTGTTATGTTATGCGCTCGTATGATAATGCGTTGGTATGTTTGTCGTATCGTTTGAATTCAATCGCCTCTCATTACAGCGAACTGATCATTCATTGTGGTAGGCCACGCGTCGTTTTAGTTATGACATTTTTGATATGACAAGCACGCTTATGTCCGTAACATTACAGAATTAGCATAAATAGCAAGAACAATAAAAAGTACGATTATTATTATAATAAGGGCAATTATAATAAATTAATCAACACTAATTTGATACGTCATACCTATTAAGGTTGGCGGGGGAGAAGATGAAGAATTGACAGAATATTACATTTTCTGTAGTTGCAAGTTATGTAATTAGCTAAGACTTTTTTTTTTAATTTCAAAAAAGAAAAACCAAATTAAAATGTCGGACTCATAGGGTCCAATATATAAACTTATCGTTGACATATTCACAGTATGTATGGGAGTGAAATTAGTCATCTGTCAAACAATGATGTCTGACCATTTTTATACCCTCCACCATTGTTTGGAGGGTATATTAATTTTGATCAGCGTAAAATTCTAAGACGATCTAAGCATGTCCGACTGTCCGTCTATAGTAATCACTCTTGCGTCTAAACGAATTGAGATAGATCGCCAAAATTTTGCACAGAGTCGTATTTTGTCTGCAGGCAGGTCAAGTTCAATGACGAGCTATATCGTCCACGTTTAGGCATAGCTCCGATATAAGGGTACCCCCACATTGTCAGTGTTTTGGGGTTCTTGAGCGCGTTTTTCAACCAAATTTGGTACATTGAGTTCCTATTGGGTACCAATTTTCCCCACTAAAATTATAAATATAGGTCCACTTTTCTGGTAGCGCACATATTAGGGTTCGCCCCAATTTTTAGTTTTTGTGGGATTTTGACCGAATTTTTTCACCGAATTGCCTGTAATTTTGTTATTTGAGTTGTTAGTAGGTACAAAAAATTATGAATATAGGTCAATTTTTTAGGATAGCCCCAATTTTCGGTATTTTGGGGTTATTGAGTGCGTTTTTCAACCGAATTCACTGCAATTTGGTATTTTGTAGTCGTATATGGAAACAAATCTCCCCACCAAAAATTATTAATATTCGCCCCCTTTTTGGATTAGTCACCATATAACCCTCTTTTTATATTCTCCACCATACTATAGAGGGTATATTCATTTCGTTCTTCCGTTTGTAACTAATCGATATATATTTTCATATCTATGGTGGAGGGTATCCAAAGTTCGGCCCGAACTTTGTTTTCTTTTCAGTTGAAAGTCTGACATTGACACAATGGAATCGCTTAACTATATCACAACACGTCAAAATGATCAAAATTTACTATAAAATCCTACCATACGATACCCTAGACAACTACCACGGAACTCTAACGTTCTGTGGATTTTTTTCCGAGCCTGGGCAATATATCGTGATAGTTGCAGCCTTTTGCCAAATTAGACGTCAACAACACCTCTCCATGCCATATTTTCCGAATTTGACTAATATTCAGCACAGTCCTTCTAATTACTTGTCCACATTCCCTTCAGCGTGGGTCCTGTTGTGACGTTCGGCTTATAATTGTGTTCTATATATCGACAAGAAAAAATACAAGAAACTAAGTTTTCGGTCCACTTCATTCGAAAATTATTATCGGATCATCTCCGCAAATTATAGGCGTTGTCCTTGACCATAACTGGAACCTCATGAAACATTTCAAAGCGATCAGTGCGGTAATGGGTTACTAAATAATATCTGAATACGCAAGCACTTGTAAATATTGAAAGTGTAACTCCCACTTCCGAGTACATACGACAATATTATTGGTATCAATGTAAAGGTCAACCACTCTTATTGGATGTACTATCAACTTCTCGGGTCTACGTCCTTCAGGATTAAATATATCCGCTGTATAATACGAATTTGTAATTTTTCACACAAAAGTCAGGGTCCATTTGATCCGCTAAATATTGACTAATCTTTACCAAAACCGCATGTTTTTTCTTTGGCGCAATCCCTTTTCCATGTAAAAATCTCGGTGTTTGGACCATAATTACGGTCTCTGGAGCGACCAGAAAAACCGACAAAAATTAAGTATTTGGTCTATTCCATCCCCTAAACATCAACCAGTATTACCAAAAACAAAAGTTTCATTGTTTTTTTTTTTTTTTTTTTTTTTTTGACCATTGACCAGAACCCATCCTAAATGCAAAATTTCGTGAAGAGTGGTCTATAACTGTGACCTGTATCGTGTTTACAAATTATAATGGGCAGACGGACGGTCACACATGTACATCGACTCAGCTAGTCGAAACTCTTGGGGCTGCACAAAGCATACCCTGACAACATAGTTGTGAAGGGTATAAATAGCGATTGTGCCACAGTGACACATCGTGCTTTAAAAAATCGTCGTATTCGGGGTTCTGAGAGTCCTCAATAAAGATAAGTCATTATCCAGACATCCAGAAAAAATAATTGCGTGATGCAATGATTGGTCCGAAGGTATAATTGGACGTTACTTCTTCAAAATCGACGATGAAACGTCTGTTACCGTCAATTTGGAGCGCTATGTTCATATGATAACCAACTTTTTTCTGCCGTTGAAGAATATGTGGTTTCAACAAGATGGTGCCACACGCCACACAACTCGAGCAAATATGGTTTTATAGCAAGATGCGATATGACACTATTGATCAATGATTTTGGTTTATAAGACATGAAACTGGATTATGTGATCTATATTTATAGAGAAAACATGAATATATGTATATATATATATATATATATATAAGACGAGCTCATTTGAATCCTTTGAAAACTAGTAAACGATACAACATTACATTTACGAGATGATATAGCGCTCCTGGCTTTTGAGGATCAGAAATAAGTTACGACTGTAGGCACATGTATTTCAATTATAGCTACTGAGTCGACATTTATAGCATCGTGGTATAGCGGCAAGCAAGATGAACGGTGGCGGATACCCGGAGATAGGCGGCAGCATAGAACATCGGCCGCCCGATAAGCGTTGACGGCACACATAAAGTTGGCGGCAGTTTGGCATAGCAGGAGCCAGATGATGAATGATGATGGCACTCGAAGATTGACACAAGCTAAGCACAGGGACAGCCCGATGATTCGTCTTAAAGCCAAGGGCTCCAAATAGCACAGACGACAGCGACGAACTCCTTATGTTCCAGCCAGGGCTCGAACTAGATAACGCGAATCGACTAGACAGCAGCTACTTCACTGGTAGCCGAGGACTAGTTTTGCAACCCTACTCGTAGACAGCGACTACTCCATAGTTAATTTCACTGGTAGCCGAGAGCTCGTTTTTCAACCCCACTCGTCTATTCAGCCTCTACTTCACTTGTAGCCGAGGGCTTGTATGGCCACTAGGCGACCTTTTGACGTTAAAACTTCAAACCATATATTTACCAAAAATTATCAAGGTATTTGATGAAATAAATTAAAACGAATCTGACACTATCCTTAGCGATCTTCCTCCAGAAAGTACAGCTCACACAGTGCAACTATTTGTTAAGGACTATTTGATGATGTAATGATTTACTAAAGCGAGTTAGAGATTTAACAAAGGGCTCACATACTCCTACATAAACGTTTGTTGAACAAAATTTGCTTCGATCAGTATGTTTAGATAATAAGCGTAACATTATGTTAGGAACAATACTATTTATCTAACCTTGTCGAAAAGTTCATCGATGTTCGTCCGAAATCTACATTTTTAATGATAAGAATATTACAGGCATACTATTATTTTTGTTTAAGAAATATTGATGCTACACTTCATCGAAGGCAGGTAAAATAGTATGTGAAAACCTTTTTAACTATATTATATCCTGTGTATATCGCCTTTCCAAGGCTACAAGAACAACCGATATTTTTTGGAGATTTTGGATATATAAAGCTTTCGGTCCAAACAGCTCTAAATTTGCACACAAATTAGACCCGAGAAAACTATACTACAAAACGTTATATTTCTGGCAGATTTATATCTGAATTTGGGACTATATATACTGGCTCATACTGAAAAAATTTCAGTAATTAGTGTGTCAGAATTAGTGTGTCAAGTTTCCTAACTTGTATTAAATAAACATTTCTCTTAAATCATTGAAATGGTCAGACGTCAACTTTGGGGCAGTATCTGAACTCCCTAAATGCTGAAGGAAATTTTTATATAGTTAACTTGTTTCACTTCTTCAATGTTTGGTCTCTATGTATGTTCTACATTACAATGTGGTAGGGTCATATTTATTTTATTTTAATTGGCACATTTCTTCATATATAGCATTTGGCATAACATCTTGAATTAATTCTAATAATTTGTTTAAAGGGCATTGAAAACTGCAACCCGGAACGGTTAAGGGAACTGGTTCCAATTTTGGATCGTTTTGGAAATAAATCTGTAACAACAAAATAAAATAATAGCGCATTAATTTCAAATGTATGTATGAATGATATGAAATCAACGTCTTACTTCTACAAAATACTCCTCTGTCTCTAAATTCTGATGTAATTCAAATGAAATTAAAGCTGAAAATCGAGGCATTTGTCGTTTCCACACCTTAAGGGCTAGTAAAACATTCGTTATAGTCCAATCGTGAGCACAATAAACAAACATTTTCCTCTCTTCGGGCTGAAGGGTGTCATTTGCTTTTGCCAACATTTGTTCAAAGATTTTCTGTAGAAATGGTCCACCCTTAAGACGTTGCATTTCCGTAGTGTAGGCATTGTAAATATAACTTTTTTCGGCCAAAAATTGCATACGTTCGGGGTAATAAGCTGTGGTCCAGGCGGGTAAATCCAAGCCGTAAGATTGCTAATGACAATTGTAAAGAAAATTTATTTTGAAAATATACATTTTTTACAGTTCATACCTCAGCCAGTAGGGTAATGTAGAGAGATGTTATATCTGCTGCAGTTGTAATATTTAATCCGGTAATGTTTGTCAATTCCTGAAACATGTTATGGTATTCACCGATTTCTTGTTGAATTTTTGAGAATTGTAAAACTTCGTTTAAAGCTTGATCATAACGTGGACAAGGTACCTTCATGCGCAACCACTTGAAAATTTAAAAAAAAGAACAAAAGAACTGTATTATAATGTACATTAATTTTGACCTAATGGGGAGTGACCGTAATGTGCGGGCTATGTCAGACATTTCCATATATTAACGATTAAAAACGTCGTTAAGTTCTGCCAAGCCAAACTTGTTTACCGTTAACCATGTGATTTGCGTTTAAAACTTTTTTAAAATATCTAAAATTACAAAGCTCTCTCTTAAAAATGTCCGTTTTCTATCGTGATTTCCACATACAATTTTCTGATTAAGAAGAGAAAAGGAATGACAAAGAAGTAAAAACGTCGTCAATTTACCAAATGAGACTACTATTGATATTATGCCATGCCGAATTATAGAATTTCCCACCTCTTTTATTGTTTACTAGCATATGCCCGCTACTTCGTTAGCGAATGTAGGAAATATTTAAACATGTTTTAAAATACTATTTTATTTTCAGAGAAAACTGCATATGTCAAAAAAAAACAGTAAGGAAAGTAGTAAAGTCGGACTGGGCCGACTATATGATATCCTTCACCACTTTGGGGATATTCTACATATGTATCTTTACAGATCTAAACCGATTTCAAGGACACTTGGCCGATATTAATTTAGTACACCATTTACTTTGGTTCTTTAGTGCACAATTTACATTAAATCGGACGAAAATATATATTGGAGCTATATCTAAATCTGAACCGATTTTAACACATCATTCTGGATCCAATTCAGTACCCTATGGCAACCTTCGTGCAAATCGAAAGATATATAGGGACTTTGGAGACCCATTTACCTTAAATCGGACGATAATATATATGGGAGCTATATATAAATCCTCGAAACTTGGCACACGCCATTCTTGACCTAATTCAGTACTTTATGCCAAACTTCGTGCAAATCGAAATATATATAGCGACTTTGGAGACCGATTTACCTTAAATCGGACGAAAAAATATATGGGAGCTATATCTAAATCTGGACCGATTTTCACGAAACTTAGCACACATTATTCTGGACCTAATTCAGTACTCTATGCCAAGTTTCGTGCAAATCGAATGAAATATAAGGACTTTGGTGCACCATTTACTTTAAATCGGACGAAACTATATATGGGAGCTATATCTAAATCTGAACCGATTTTTTCGAAACTTGGCACAAATCATTCTGGACTTAATTCAGTACTCAGTGCCAAATTTCGTGCCTATCGAGAGATATAGAGGGATTTTGGTGCCCCATTTACCTTAAATCGGACGAAAATATATATGGGAGCTATATCTAAATCTGAACCAATTTTTCCCAATTTCAATACGGTTCGTCCTTGGGCCAAATAAGTGACTTGTGCCAAATTTCATCCAAATCAGATCATAAATGCGACCTGTACGTTGTTTACAATTTAACATCTACAGACGGACGGACATGAATAAATCGACTCAGAAAGTGATTCTATACATAATCTCAAAAGGAACCATGTGTCTATCTCGTTTCCTTTTGCCTGTTACAAACATATGCGCAAAGACATAATACCCTGTACCACAGTGTGGTGAAGGGTATAAAAACAATCCACCACAGTGAACCTAAATATAAGTTTTAGGATTCCAACTCTATTGGTTCACCCACCATTCAAATATGTACCAATTTCCATAGTTGTACCAATTTCCAAAACTTTCTACATACCCCAATCCTACATCCCCACAGTGATCCTAAATCGAAGTTCCAGGATTCCAACTTTATCGCTTGACCATCATTTTATTGTACCAAATTTAGTACACAGTAGTACGAATTTCCTACTTAACCCAAACCAACACCCCCACAGTGACCTAAATCTAAGTTTCAGGATTCAAACTCTACCGGTTCACCCACAATGCAAATTGTACCAAATTTGGTACACATTAGTACAAATTTCCAAAACTTCCTACATACCCCAATCATACACCCCCACAATGATCCTAGATCCATGTTTCAGGATTCAAACTCTATCGGTTCATCCACAATACAAATTATACCAAATTTAGTACACGGTAATACGAATTTCAAAAACTTTTAACTAAAGCCAAACCAACACCCGATCCTAAATCCATTTTCAGGATTCAAACTCTATCAGTTCACTCACATTTCAAATTGTACCTAATTTAGTACACAGTAGTACCAATTTCCAAAAAAATCTACATACCCCAATAATACCCCCCCACACTGATCCTAAATCCAAGATTCAGGATTCCAACTCTATCGTTTCACTCACAATTAAAATTGTACCAAATTTAGTACACAGTAGTAAGAATTTCCAAAACTTCCTACATACCCCAATTCTACACCGTGATCCTAAATCAAAATTTCAGGATTCTAACTGTATCGGTTCACCCGCAATTCACATTGTACCAAATTTAGTACACAATAGTACCAATTTCCAAAACTTCCTAAATACCCCAATCCTACACCTCCACAGTGTTCCTAAATCAAAATTTCAGGATTCCAACTTTTTCGGTTCACCCAAAAATCAAATCGTACTAAATTTAGTACACTTAGTACGCATTTCTAAAACTTCCTACATATCTCAATCTTACACCTCAATAGTGATCCTGACTCCAAATTTCATGATTCTAGCTCAATTGGTTCACCTAAAATTCATATTGTACCAAATTTAGTACCATTAAGTACCCATAAGTATTATTTTCTTAAACTGAATTCTGACCCCAATCCCACAACCCTACAGTAATCCTGACTCCAAATTTCATTGTTCCCGGTTCCCAAACTGTACCGATTATAGTACGATTTAGTACTTTACGTACACACAGGTAACAAATTTCTAAAACTACGTTCATATCACAATCCTACACTCCGACGGTTCGATTTTTATCTCCAAATTAAATTTATACCAAATTTAGTACCATATAATACATTTCGTACACATGAGTACACTCTTTCAAAATCATCTTCTTAAATGGACCCTACTTCTCAACCATAATTCTACTGCTACAGAATTTTACCAAATTTAGTACATTTTCGTACTTTTCGGATAGTTATAGTTCGAATTTCCGAAACCAAAACAAATTTCAGAATTCTAGCTCCACCGGTTCGCCAAACACAAATGGTATCACATTTAGTACTTTTTAGTACTTTTCGTACCGTTCTAGTACGAATGTCCAAAAACCCAGCCTTATCTGTCACATTTGGACCAAGAGTGACCCTCACCCAAAATTTCAAGATTCTAGCTTCAGCCGTTTCGTCTGGGTGTTGATGAATCGTTAAATCAGTCAGTCAATCAATCAGTCTGTCAGTCAATCACTTTACTCTTTTATTAGTATAGATAAATGTTGAAGCCTTAAACGTGCTCTATATTTTATTTCTAACATACTTTTAGGCATAATCTATTAATTTTCTGGTTCAAAGTTTATAAATTAAACTATATGAACCTTTTATTCTATATTCAATAAAATGCCAAAAATTGGGCGGGACCTTTACATGGGAATTATGTCAATGTATTACGATTTGCATATATTTTGATTGAGAAGTTCAAAATATATGGACCTGACTTTTGGACTATAATCTTAACTTTTCGGTATTAACTAACTCATCAACGATTTTCTCAATTAATTTACTTACAATATCCAATTCCTCGGGAATTGATAGAATAGGTATGGGTTGCCAATTCAGTTTAAAATTCCATTCCATTGGTGTATTAACAGGCGGTAACATACCCGCCAATACTGTTGCCATTGACATCAAGGTGCGTGGTGATGCTGACGATTGGGCGTAAATAAGCTAGAGAAATGAATAATCAATTCAGAAATCTACAAAAAAGTATTCGAACTTACATCTGGATTATAAAATGGCTGCAATAGACATTGATATCTTTTAGCCAGTGCATTGCCAATTTTGAATAATTCTTTTTTGGCATCCTGCTTATGAGAAAATAAAGCATTATAAAAAATATATTTGAATTAAATGTGATAAGCAGCCTAACATTTGTCAAATGACCCCAGCCATATGGAAAGAATGTCTCATTTATATATGGGTCATTGGGATATGTGTTCACCGGGGTACGTGGTCCGTGACGAAAAAGCTGAAATGAAACGGTATAAGATATTATTAAAGTGTATATTGCAAAAATTAACATCATAAACGATAAGGAAAAAAAAAGCAAATGAAAAAGGCTTCTACTTGTACCCTGGTAAATGCACATTTGTGCTGCTACAGCCGTCATGTCACATAGTGAACTTGAACTTGACGGCTATAGACGCAACTGTCCGTCAACGTGTTAACATTATAAACGGTAAGGTAAAAGAAGCAAATGAAAAAGCGTTAGATTCTTCCGGGCCGAAATTTGGATAATCTCCACCATAAGTAGGTGTAGGTATTTGACATGAAAATGTAGGGAACATTCCAAATTGGACCTATACCGACATTTTTACAAACTGATTATGTAAACCATAATGTACACCAAATACAAATATCAGAAATTTTTAGTGGATATTTATACCTTATGACTAATACCCTCATTAGTCATAAGGTACACACTTTGATACGGTGAAAATGTGTCTCATCGAAATATTGTTTCTAGACCCCATTATTTTTTGGACCAAAACCGTTTCAGAAAATTTGGATTTCATCCAAACTTTGCTAAGCCTACATCATGTTTGAATATGGAACCCATTGGTCCACTCCTTCTGGTTGTTCCAGATATATTATATAAGACCTTCTCCGCAAACCAAATATTTGTCCGATTGAGATAATATTTTGCACAGCGCACTAAATTAGGTCCAGTTTGATGTTTATGAAGTTTTAAGATTTAGATATATCTCCCATATATTTTTCGTCTGAATTTATGTACATGGTTCACATACGTCTGTTCGATATACACGAGATAAAATTGTAGACACGGTTGCTAAATTAGGTTAGGTTAGGTCCAAATTTACAAATATACATACATATACATAAAGTTTCATACAAATGGTACTCCAAAGAATCCAAGTCTCCCCGATTTTTCATAGATTTCAGAATGCTATGTGTATGGTGTTTTTAAATAGGTTCAAATGTCTATGAAAATCAACACATTTAATTTCGCCCGATTCCATTTTAAAGGTCCTCTAAATATGATTGAAATATGATATTGTATATATTAGCATTTCTTGTATGTACCCAAAGTTGTGAAGGGTATCATAAAGTCGGCCCCGTCCAACTTTAGAACTTTCCATACTGGTTTATACTTGACTTTGAATTCAACAGACAGACGTACCTGCATATATCGACATAGAATTTTATTCTCATCAAAAAACACAAAAAACTGGATTTTCGAGTAGGATTGTTCGCTATAATAGGCCTCATGTTGTGTAAACATTCATATGAATATCTTTTACACACTCTAATTAAGAAGCTATAGAAGTTAACTTTTTTGAGTTATGCCTGTCTTGCAATACAAATTTAATATACAACCTACCTAATGGTGCAAAATGGATTATGAATCCCGGTAATTTGGTATTTAATTTTCTCGGAGTATAAACTGCAATGACACAATTTTCGGACCATTTAAGAACATTTGACTGCACACTACATGGTGGAGATTATTACAAATTCAGACTGTCAGAAATTAACGATGTTTATACCCTTCACCACACTGTGATACAGGGTATTATGCATTTGTGCATATGTTTGTAACAGGCAAAAGGAATCGAAATAGACACATGGTTCCTTTTGCAAATATGCATAGAATCACTTTCTAAGTCGATTTATGCATGTCCTTCCGTCTGTCTGCCTATGTGAAATTGTAAACAAAGTACAGGTCGCATTGATGATCCGAATTGGATGAAATTTGGCACAGGTCACTTATTTGGCCCAAGGACGAACCCTATTGAAATATATAGCTCACATATATATTTTCGTCCGATTTAACGTAAACGGTTCCTATATTCACGAAATTTGGCACAGCGCGATGAATTAGGTCTGGAATGATGTGTGCCAAGTTTCTTGAAAATCGGTTCAGATTTGGATATAGCTCCCATATATATTTTCGTCCGATTTAATGTAAATGGTGCAGCAATGTCCTTACATATCTTTCGATTTGCACGAAATTTGGTACAGCGTAATGAAATAGGTCTAGAATGATGTGTGTTAAGTTTCGTGAAAATCGGTTAAGATTTAGATATAGCTCTTATATATATTTGGCATAGCGTACTGAACAAAGTCTAGAATGATGTGTATTAAGTTTCGTGGAAATTTGGCACAGTGTAATGAATTAGGTCTAGAATGATGTGTCTTAATTTTCGTGAAAATCGGTTCATATTTGGTTATAGCTCCCATATATATTTTCGTCCGATTTAATATAAATGGTGCATCAAATCGTATACATCTTATAATCTTATATCTTGTAAATCTTATATATATATATATATATATATATATGTTTCTATTTGCACGAAATTTGGCATAGCGTACTGTATAAAGTCTAGAATGATGTGTGTTATGTTTCGTGAAATCAGTTCAGATATAGATATAGCTCCCATATATATTTTGTATGGATTTAATTTAGCTTCTATATATATTTTCTACCGATTTTATGTAAATTGTGCACTAAAGACCCAGAGTTTGTCCGATTGCCACACAATTTTGTACAATGAACTGTAGTTAGATATAGTTTCTACATATATATTTTCGTCAGATTTTACACAACGTACTGAAGATACTATTACATAACGTGTGGTAAGTTTTGTTGAAATCGGTTCAGATTTAGATATAGCTCCTAGATATAGTTTCATCCGAGTTTTAGTAAAAGGTGCACAAAAGACCCAAAGTTAGGACGTTTGCTACATCTATTGAATGTGGTGAAGGGTACCATACAACTTTCCTTACTGGTTTTGGCTCGTTTCCATACGTATTTTATATTTTGTGTGTTCATCTATTTACTTTCAGCGAAAGATGATAAATTTAAAATTCTTGATAGAAGTCCTAATGACCAGTGGTAAAATGTGTGCGCAGTATTTGTAAAACATAGTTTAATTTGTTTTTTGTTTACTTTTTAGCAATTATCCAACCTGCATTGATAACATTTTGTCCTATAGTGCCTCCAATCGATTGTCCAAGTCTTGTCAACAAATCAATGAATGCTATGCCAATAATTTCCAAATTACTATGGTCGATTTCAAAGGGAACAACCAACCTTTTCCGTTCCCTGTGATTTACACACAGACAATGGCGGCTGGACAATTATACAGAGACGTCAAAATGGTTATGTGAATTTCAACCGTAACTGGACCAGTTATTTGGAAGGATTTGGCGATTTAAATGGCGACTTTTTTATTTAACTTCCACATTATTTTGCGAGATTTTGATGGTGAAGAAGTTTATGCTAAATATGCATATTTTGTAGTGCTTTCATCCATTGAGCGTTATAAGCTAATAGTTGGTGGGTATAGTGTATCAGCCGGTTACAGTTTGACATCTCATGAAGGTTATCAATTTTCAATATCTTATGACAATGTTGATGGTGAACGTCGTAAAGGCGGTTGGTGGCATTTTAACGGTGTGAGGTACATTGTAGTAAATTTCGTATGTGATAGGGTAATTATTGTTTGTTTCTTTTTTTTAGCAATTTAAATGGCGAATATTTAAAAGGTGTTACCCGACTAGAGGGTGGAATGGTTTGGGAAACATTTCGTAGTCAATTTTACTCTTTGAAATTTGTTCAAATAATGATACGTCCTGTTGATGATACGTATGGGAGCTATATCTAAATCTGAACTGATTTTCACAAACCTTAGAAGAGACATAATTCAGTGCGCTATGCTAAATTTCGTGCAAATTGAATGAAAAATAGGGACTTTGCTACACTATTTACATAAAACTGGACAAAAATATGTATGGGAGCTATTCCTGAATCTGAACGAATTTTCACGAAACTTAGTACATATGGCAATTTTCAACCAATTCGGAATAAAAATGCTACCTGTACTTTGTTTACAATTTAACATTGACCGACCGACGGATATGCATAAATTAATGGTGGGAAAGCATGGGAACTTGTGCCCTTGTTTAGATGTATAAAAAATTTCGTTCTCTGCATTCTCTTTTAGTAAGTCATTTCATATGGCGGTTTCTCATTTGTTCTCTGAGAATTTTTTCGTTGCACACCTCTAGCATAGCATATTTGTTTAACGCCTAAAAGTATGCATTATTTTTATATAACGGCAAACACTATTTTAAAACGGCTTATGCCCTGCCGGACCCATAAGCCGTTTTAAATGGTAAATTGGGTAAATATCCATTTGTGGGTATTTATTTGGATATTTACTAATATCCAAAACAAAATCTTACACCCTATTTTCGGGTTTCTGTTATCAAATTGATTTAAAATGGGTATAATATTTTAAACACGTGGGTAAAACTTTTTAACTCCTGGCCCACGTTTTGATATAGCCTCCACATGACCTTGCCTCCAGATTTTTAGTAATTATTGTCTATTAGCCGCATTTTACATCAAATTGCCTATAATTTGGTATAGAGATTTCTCCATGAGTAAGAAATATCCATGCCATGCCTCCCCCTACCCTCTTTTGGGTATTTATCCAATTATTTGGTATAAACTTATTAACTGACTCACAAATCTCTAATGTCAAAGCGGAAAATGGGGTCTCTGGATCCATGTTTTGATATAGCTCCCATATAACAGTATTGCCTATTAGCCAGTATTGTTATATGGGTACAAACTATGGGTACCAACTATCGATTTAAAAATTATTCGACGTATGTCCACGTTCTTTGGTAGCCCTCATATAAACTCATTAACTGGCGAACCACTTGACGCCGGCTGGCAAAATTTGACTCACACGAGTTTAATATCAATACGAGTACTGCTATGAAAAATGGGGTCTTTGGATCCATTTTTTGATATAGCGCACATACCTCCCCATTTAAGGTATTTTTTTTTTTAAATCTATTATCCATATTTTATAATCAAATTGGCTATAATTTGGCATAATGAGTTCTCATTTTGTACAAAATTGGTGTACCATTTACCATACTGTTGTACAGGGTATTAAGTCTTTGTGCATATGTTTGTAACAGGCAAAACGAATCGAGATAGGCCCATGGTTCTTTTTCAGAATATGCATAGAATCACTTTCT